GAACGACAATGAAATCGGAGCATAAGTCCTAATAATTTTTTTGGTGAATAGTTAGGGGGCGAGAAGGAGATGCTAAAAGGAGGATTACAATTAAATCTGAGAATAACTCCAGATCTTCAAATAAATTCGGAAAATAATTCCAGGAGAGATTGTCGAACAAATTACGAGGAGAGAAGTCTAAAGAATTTGTGAGGAGAAATGAAAATGAATTATAAGGAGACTTTCAATGCGAGTAGAATTCAAAGGAAAGGAGTGAGATTAAAAAGGAAATTCTGAGAATTTTTCGATAGGATTTCTTACTGAGGAGAATTGCAAGGTAAATCATAGGAAAATTAAAAGAAAATTGCATTCCGAGGATAGTTTCAACGACATTTTGAAGTTTATTTCAATGGAATTTCGAGAAGTATTCTTACTATATTCTTGTGATATTGTTTAGAGAATTCAGCGAAGCGTTCCAAGTGAATTTCTGAAATAACTCCATGACAGTTTCGGGAGAATACGAGCGCATGATAACTCCAATCGAATTTTCATTAGAAATCTCCGTTGATTATGTGATGGACTATTCTGAGGTATTCAGAACAACTTAAAAGTTCCCAAAATATTCCTGAAGTTAATTAAACTGCCTTGAAGTTCTATTTCAGTTTGAGATACAAACCTGATGCTCGCAATTCTTCTCTCATTGCTACCTTGAATCTTCTAAAGTTATCAGATCAATCATAGAATTCTCTGAATATCCCAAAATTCCAATGAACTCCTTGTAAGTCGCAGCGAATTTCCTGAAGTTAATGAGATGTTTCTGATGTTATCTGATCGTCCTCCAAGTACTCGGAATTTCACTGAATATAAGAAAACAATCTAAAAATATCTGAATTTCTAAGAAGTTCTCTGAAATTTCTTGAAAATATCGGTGCATGCAATACTTGCTGGAACTTCGTTGATGTTCTCTAATCAACTTAGCTAAATTTTCGAAAATTTAAAGATCTTGAAATTTCCATGATATAAAACCCTTGAAATACTCTCACACTTTGCGGATGTTCATATAATTTTTATTGCGGTCCAGAAATTTTCTCTGAGCAAAACTGAAGTTTCCGGAAATTCCCAGAAATTTTCATGAAACTTCTTTAAGGTTTCTAAAATTTCCTTGAATTTTTTTTAATTGCCCTTTAATTATATGATCTGTTTGATGTTCTTGGAGTTTCCTTAAAGCTCTCAATTCTAATGAAGATCTCGGTTCTGCTTTAAAATAAATGGAATTCTCGTAAACACCTGGATTTTCGTGAAGTTCCTGAAATATTTATGAAGTTTTCATAAATTTTCTGAAGGTACTCTGTACTTATTTATTTCAGCACATCATGGAACTATCCTGAATTTGTCTAAACTCACGCTTATAGATTTCTAAGCCAATCAATTAGTCTGGACCAGGGTGGCCAGTGAATTTTCATTTTGAAATTCCCGGTTTTTTCCCGGTTTTCGCGGTTTAAATCTTAAAAAATTCTCGGTTGTTAGTATTCAAAAAAAAAACGAAATTGAACGCATTTTTAAGAACGTGCTGAAAAGAATTTACTGAAGGGATAAATGTGATTAAAGAAGATTCCCAAGATCGTGGGGCTTTAAATTTGCGTAGAGTTTGAAACTAGAACTTTTTTTCAAAATCTGTGATTAATAATAATCTTCGTGATACAAGATTTGGAGAAAAACAATTAAAATGTGAGATTTTGAAAAAAATTCAAGATCACAGATTTGAACGGGCATTTTAAGGGTTATAACAAATTCCAGAACAATCTTTGGAATCTAGTGGACAAACCCTGGAGTTTTTAGTAAAATTTAAAAGAATTCAAAGTGTTGATTTCAAACAAATATTGAGAAGGATTCCCACACAACTTTCGAATGAGAAGTTCTGAGCAGAATACCAGAATTATTCTGACATGAAATCCTTAGAAATTTTTAGTTGTATTTGGAGGGATTTCTGTGGAGAAGAATGCATGTTCTAAATTAAATTGTTAGGTAATTTTAGAAGATTTAAAAAGGAGTTGTGATAAATAAAACTTTGCGGAAAATTCCTACGTGATTCTGAGGAGATTTGAAAAGGGATCGTGAGGAAAATGACAGATGAATTTTAAGAAGAGAATTATGTTCAGAATTCAACCAGAAACAGAGTTCTAAGAGTGTTCTGGCAATAATTTCAACCCTAGTGCGAAAGATTCATCGCAGAACTTCAACAAAATTGATTGCAAAAAAATGCTGATAATTAGAAAGAAATTCTTTAAAATACTCCCAAGGGTTTCTAAATAAAAATTTCGAAAGAGTTCTGCTGTTTTGAATAGAGTTAAAAGTTTTTCAAAGGAATCGAAATCTCCAGATAGGCCTTTTTAATGCACTACCAATGTAGAGTGCGCCAAGCGAATTCGATATGAAACGTCAGCCAAACCATTTGTTTACATTAGAATGAGGATATTTCACAACGCAAATTAGAGCATTTTTCATTCAACATCTTGCCAATTTCCATCAGTAATTGCATATTTAACGATTTTTCACAGATCTGAACTGATTTGCACTTGAACTATTTATATACAAATCCAGAATATATTAACTACTAAAGCATTTTTATAATTTTCCATTTTTCTCACCAAAAAATTTCCTGGACACTAGCAGGATCCTTGCAAAAACGATACAGAATTAAATTTTTAAACTGTAAATCAAGTTTTGGAGTATCTCAGATGAATCAATTTATCAGGAAAAGTTAAAAGTTTTCCGCTTCCAATGTCTCACGACAAACATTTCTGCTCACAACACTCTTTTTAACGTCCTCCTATTTACCACCAGAGGTTGAATCGATCGTTTGGTTTCTATTAAAAAGAAATCCCAAAAAAAATTCACTGGTAATTATTACGCGGGGTGTTTTCTGGCTTATTTCAGAACAATTTCAAGATAACTCAGAGCAGAATTCCAAGTTAATTCTGGAATTCATATCGTGAGAATTTAGGACGAAAAATTAAACCCTGCAAAAGAATAATTCAGTTTCGTTTTTTACAAATGAGAGATTAGTTTCCAAAGTCCAGCATCTTCAATATTTTCTTTTAAGGACCAAGCACTTTACATCAGAAATTGAAACGACAAAAATCAATTTGCAATATTGCTGAGTGATTAAATTCTAAAACCAATTAGACGGGAAACTGAAGAAAATTATGCAGCAAATAGAGCAAGACATTCATTTGGTAAAGGATTACTCTGTTTTAATGGTTTATTCTGAAATTGTGTTGTTAAGATTTGTTCCTATGGTATGGTTAATTTATTTTTCCCGGTTGTCTCACCGAATTCCTGGGTTTTTCCCGGTATTCCCGGTTACTTTTCAAATTCCCGGATATTTCCCGGTATTCCCGGTTTTCCCGGTTTGCTGGCCACCATGGGACTAAAGTTTCGGGGACTTCTCCTTAAGATCTCTGGAATTCCCCAAAGATCTCTAGATCTAGTTTTTCTGAGATAAATAGAACTTCTTAAAAATTTGCTAGAACGAAACTTCAAGACATTAAAAGTGTTGTGATCTTAGACTTACTAAAATTAAGTAATGCTGTTTCTTTAAAACTGATTGTCTTTTCTTTTAAACGTTTGCGTTAATTTCTGTTGTTGTTTTGCAAAAAAAAGCATAAAAACATTTCATAAATAGCTTTCTTATTATAAACCTGGAAATTACCCGTCAAAGTTATGGAAAACCGTGAAAAACTCAGGGAACTTTATTTAGCCTAATGAGTGTACACCCTGTAGATAGAAAAAGACGATTAAACGTAAAAACGTCTATAAAGGGTCTTCAACTTCGAATTGTTCAAAAATTAGAACAAAATATAGGCCTATGCTATACACTGCAAGAAGAATGATCAATCTTGAAATAAATTTACGTTAAAAAAAAGTTTAAAATAGTGACTAATTACAAGAAGAAGTGACTTTAGTGACTTGACCTTAAAAAAAGAGACTTTTTAGTGACTGGCTTGAAAAAAGTGACTCGCTACCAGCCCTGTGTCGCATATTAGCTTATTGCGTGCTCTCAACTTAGTGTTCCAGATGCACTTCCACAGTTATTAATTGAGAGCTGTCTACCCAAGTAACCAACAAGCCCGTTAATCGCCCTTTTTGGTATATAAGGCTGATATTTTCGGAAACCCTATATTTACCTTATATCGCAAAAAGGGCGATTATTGTGTAGTTAGCGGGCTTGGTGGTTACTTGGGTATGCCTGTAGTATTTTTGTATAAGTATAATTGTGTGGCAAGTATAATCATACTTTATGCCCTGGGAAGTCGAGAAATCCTGAAAAAAATCCTAGATTGGATCGGAAATTGAACCCAGCCAACTCCAGCATGGTCTTGCTTGTAGCTGTGTCTTTACCGACTGAGCTAAAGGAGGCCCTATACCTTAAATATGTAGCCTATTTCGTAAATAGTAAATTGACACTATTAAAATCGAAATTGTTTGCCTAACGATGCGTTAAAACATTACAAGGTATGCTCATGTAAAAAATAACGCTCCAGGACTTCATTCACCCCCTGACGATAATGTAGGTGAATATATTTCCACGATAACTTTAATAATACATTCAACATTCAACATTTTTAGCCGAGCTCTCCCCAACTCGACGGAAATCCTGGCTAAAATCCGTAGTTTAATATCCTCGATGGTGCCTTCAGTAAGGGAGAGTTGACTGTAATTCAAAGTTTTGTTAACAAGTCACTATGCTGTATAGATTTTGATAGATTTGAAAAGGTCAACTGATATGTGATCGGCTAGAACCAATTAAAAAAAAACTGACTAACTTCCTAAGCTTGCAACGCAATAAGCTCAAATGTTCAGAGGATGATTAAGATCTGATTTGGAACAAAGTACGCCACTTGTGCCTGATCTAAGAGCTTTGTAATATACAATGAGAAACCATTTAATACAACGCTTATCCGATAAACAATTGTCTACCATCATAAGAATCAATAAATCAGTGAAAACAACAAACTCACAAGCTGAAGATTCCCATCTTGATCGGTGCTTTCAAGTAGCTTCGTCGAAAGTTCGTTGATTGATCTCTCTGCTCCTTTCCTTAGGCAGCTACAGTGTACAACTGCTACTGTTAGATTGCAGCAATCAAAATGCGTTGTTTACGATACGATACGTATTTGGAAATAATAAACAAATCACTCGCGAACGAACGAACGAACGAACAGTTTCACTCTCACTAGTCGTACTTCCCCGAGACGCGATGCTCAATAAGTAAACAGCCCTCTGCTGCTCCGTTCACACGTTGCTGCCTTGCTCTGCTGATGGTAATTCGTGTGATCTCTCAATAACAACCACTCAGCTGCACTCACCACCGTCGTCGTCCGTGTGCTCGTCACCGCGTGTCGTAGTACGTAGGTGTCTTTCGACCAACTTCTCAATGAATGAATCGATCAACGATCGTCGCGCACTTAGGTACCTATAGTACACGTAGAATTCTACAACCTACAACCATTCACTTTCCGACAACCACGGAGACCTTATGTAACGTTACGTGACTCACACCTAGACTGCTACTGCTGCACAAATGCATGGCACGTCTATCGATAAATCGAAAATTTCCATCAAATTTTAACTCCTTGGTTAAACCGACGAGACAACGGTGAGCCACCACCACTTCATACACGCCCGCCTACAAAGTGTTTCACTTTTCTTCAATGACCCAAAAAGGAAGAACGTTGCTGCAGCCACTGAGCCACTTTCCTACCGTTTTCCAATTATAAAATTTGGTGAGAAATCCGAATATAAAAAAAAAAATCACTTTCAATCATGCAAATCCAGCGAGCTAACCGACCGAGCCTCACGCAAACTCAATTCGAAGAAATCCAGACGAAATTTGAGTTTCCCCCCTGAACAGAAGAAACAGAAAAAAAAAAACAGCAGACCATCGAGTTCTACCAAGATGTGAAGGGGTCCCTTCAGAAACACCAACCGACCGGGACCAACGACAACAACGATGACGAAGGTTTCGAACGCGCGTCTTAACTCGACGGAAGTAGAAGTGCTACTAAAGTGTGTACGGTGGAGAAAATACGACCAGCAGAGAAGAGAACGATGCACGCGAGCTCCTTTTCCAGCGACACTCTTCGATCTCACTGAAAATTAAGGCAAACGTTCCGCGCGACAGCGGCGGGTGAGTCGGCGACGTCCAAGTTGCAAGAGACGACGACGCATCTAATATAGGTGTTTGTGTGGATGTTTGCTTGTGTTGTTTTTGTTCAGTGTAGTATAGAATGGAAGTGCCCGGTCGGTTGATGATGATGATGCGGCGGGTAGTGAATTAAGGAGAATCAAGAGACAGACGACTCACACTGAGTGGAGCGAGCGAATGGACGGCCAAAGGGAAAGCCGAAAACAGACGACGCGAGAAATAAGCGGACGGAAAGACACGACACGGAGGAGACCGCAATAAATTGAGTCCCAAGAAATCGAGGTGCCCGGACCGGGGGATCGATGGAGCATGCCGCGTCTAATGGATGGATGGATGGACGAAAATTACGCCACGAATGAGTGATTTTTGCTTTTGGACATCCATGTATACATTTTACACCTATGCTAACTCAGCGCTACACAATACATAAGGTTTCTTTGGGTTCCTAAATTGAACTGTGACAAAACTAAGGCGGATGTAACCGTTGTAAGAAAATATATCAGGTATCTTATTGATAATGTTAATCCTCTACTGCCTGCACATTTAGATTATTTAACAGGAGTCTGTATTTTTAACTGGGTTTTTTAATTAATCATTTTGTCAAGCTTCTACATTCATGTTCCATCAGATGTCACTGCAGTTGTTTGCGGTGACATCTATCGAAAACTACTCATAATCTGTTTTACGTTAATTGTTCACAGAGGACAGTGCAGTGCAAAATATGTCTGGTACCACTATATATGCGTTTAGATTAATATTCAAAGTCCCTCCTTTTTTACACATTCTGCACATAAAATAGCTCACCCCTCACTGAATTTCCCGCCGATTTTTATGTATCTTCTTCTTCTTCCTCGCATTTCAAGCTTATTGCGTATGGCATATTAGCTTTTTGCGTGCTCTCAACTTAGTGTTCTAGATGCACTTCCACAGTTATTAATTGAGTGCTTTCGATGCCTGTACCATTTTTGCATTAGTATAATTGTGTGGCAAGTACAATCATACTCTATTGCCCAGGGAAGTCGAGACATTTTCCAACCCGAAAAATTCCTAGACCGAACCGGGAATCGAACCCAGCCACCTCCAGCATGGTCTTGCTTTGTAGCTGCGCCTTTACCGACTGAGCTAAGGGAGGCCAATTTTATGAATGGGGCGGGGCAAAAAGGAAAGACTTCAAATGTTAAACTTAATGCATATATACACTGAACCAAATCACCCTCCATTTATAGAATGAAACATCATTCAGTTGCAACCAAATTCCAATGTTTCTGAAAACCGTATGACAAAATCAGTCGGATGATTTTTTATTCGGAAACATGTGATGCTCTTTTGAATGGTGAATGACTATTAACATGTTTTTGTATGTATTTCGTTGACAATAAATATGTTAGATATAATGAAAAACATTCAGTATGGAAACGAATGGAATATCATTTGAGATAGTCCCATAACTAAAATCATTTGATTTCAACTATTAAATCTTTTATAACCGAAGAAAAATGGCAACACACTTTATGTGAAAGCTTGAGTGCAAAGTTGTTATATATTTTCGAAGCTCTCATCGAAATTCAAATGCTCAGATGTAAGTATACGTATCATTTTACTAACCCACATGCATTTAATATTCAAGAATGTCAGCATTCGGAATGGTCAGCGCTACTGGAACGTCGTGGTCGACCAATTTACTAACGAGGCCAGAAGATTTGTTTCCTTCCAGACACACATGCACGATGAGACTATTGAAGTTTTCATATTATTTCCCAGGCCCCATAGCAAACGTACGGATACATTTCCCAAGAGCCAGAGCAATCGCTCCTGTAATGACATCGTTGACAACTCCTGTGAGGTCTACGAAGTCAACATAAAGCTGTTGTATAACAACATCTTTGCCCCTCAGTTGGCTCTACCTAGTAATCATCATTCGTCTCTCAAGGACCCAGTTTAAATCACAACTTGTAATCAGAGGCGTAACGTGCCTCATTTGTTTACCTGTAAACCAAGCTTTGTTCGTTATTAGTATACAACCACATATCCGGAGAACTTTGAGATTTGGGCGTAATTGCTTTTGTAAACAAACACGTCCATAACTGATTTCTCGCGAATAAAAACATAATCTCTCAAAAAAAAAACTATACCAAATGATAAAGGAATCATTCCTCTACCTGTTTGTGTTGTTAGTTCTATAGATTTAGCTTTGATTCGCGAGAAATCAGCAAATGACGTGTTTGTTTACAAATTACGCCCTAATTTCGAAGTTCTCCGGATATTAGTTTTTGTTTTATCTTTCAATGCTCCATGAATTCAAGGGACATATTCTCCATTACATTGTTACATTGACATTGACAGATTCTCTTAATCGACTTTCTCTTTGTATTCCCACGGCCATGTAAAGACATTCCTAGGTATTTTCAGCACACAAATCGATACAAGAAGCTTTTATCTAGCATCCGATACGACAAACACGACAAGAAACGGTTATGTGGTCAAGTTATTAACGAAAGAGAAAGTCGACGAAGAGAATCGATCAATGTTACTTAGGACCTAATGCAATGTTCAGCTTGAAATATTCTTCTAATTTAAACTCACACATTCAAACCGGTCTGCAAGTATGATAACGTCCAAAGCGTACCAGACTGCTGTGTCCGTGTTGCTCCCGTTTAACGCGTAACTGCTGAAAGCTTCAATTACAACCAGTGCACTATGGGCAAAAATGGGTCCAAAATTACCCAAAATTCAATATCTCAACAGCACGCTGAATTCCGGCCATGAAAAACGACTTTTCCCAAGGGAAATCGTCCGGGGAACCGATTGCACGTGGTCCCATAGACCGGAGAGCCTTGTAGGTATGTATTTTGGACTATTTTACCCCATTTTCCCCTACTTTTGGGAGGAAATGTTTTTTCACAGCTCTATTTTTCGTAAAACATAAGCACTTTATGCATGGTTTTTGAATACTATGTCTTTAAACAACAGTTCATGAGGTATTAGGGGAAAACTCTTTTAAAACAGATAGCAGTAAATTAAAACTTATTTAACTCCAATTAACCTTAAAATTTAGAGGATTCTTGCCACAAAGAATCAGTAAAATGCGCTTACTGTGGCGAGAATCCTCACCCCTTGCAGGAGTGCCCGATGTACAAACAGCACTCCGATAAAGTGCAGCGTTCAATCTCTGGACGCTCCAAGCAGACATATGCTCAAATGTTGAAGGCTGCATCAGCCGTCCAAGATGCAAACCAATTTTCGGTTTTGTCAGTTGAAGAATCGGACTCTGACTCATCCGATGAAGGTGATTCTACGGTGGTACACGCACCTTCAAAAATAAACGGTTCCTCAAAAAGAAAATGCCCCTCCCCGAAAGTGCGCCGTAAGAAAACTAAAGTCACCTCCAGACGATTGCCAAATTCCCAGGGTAATGGGGATGAAAAAACAAAACCGAAGGCTCCTGTTGATCCAATCCCTGGATGCAGCAAGAATTTTCCGCCATTGCCCAACAAAGATAAAAAAAATAAAAAAGCTGCTCCTCAAACTTCTCAAAAGAAATCCAAGTCCGAACGAGGTTTGCTAGCTTTTTCGGACATTGTGGAATTCATATTAAACATGTTCAACATACAAGACCCTCTAAGAAGCTTAGTTTCTGCCTTGCTTCCAACGTTAGAATCATATCTTAAGCAATTGACTGTTTCATGGCCCCTCCTTGCATCAATCATATCTTTCGATGGATAATTCGTCGAACGAGGTTGAAGATATGATCACGGTGCTACAGTGGAACTGCCGTAGTCTAGTGCCTAAACTAGACTCGTTCAAATTTTTACTTCACAATTCTGATTGTGATATATTTGCTCTCTGTGAAACATAGCTTTCTTCCGATAAAGAACTCAACTTCCACGATTTTAACATTATACGCCTGGATAGAGACGATTCTTATGGAGGAGTACTTTTAGGGATCAAAAAGTGCTACCCTTTCTACAAAATTTCCCTTCCTGCTCTATCCGGCGTCGAAATCGTTGCTTGCCAAATAAATGTGAAGAACAAAGATCTTTGCATAGCTTCAGTATACGTTCCACCAAGAACCTCCATTAGCAGTAGTCAACTCTGGAATCTAGTTTCGATTCTTCCATCCCCAGTATTAATTCTGGGTGATATGAACTCCCATGGTACTGGGTGGGGCGATCTATATGACGACAATAGAGCGGCTATTTTTTACGATTTATGTGACGATTTCAATTTGACTATTTTGAACACTGGTGAAGCGACACGTATAGCAAAACCTCCGGCTCGAGAAAGCCGACTCGACATATCTTTGTGTTCAAGATCGCTATCATTGGATTGTCAGTGGAAGGTTATCAATGATCCCCATGGTAGCGATCATTTGCCAATCATCATTTCAATACAGTGTGGCCCTCACTCTGCAGAACCATCTCGGGTTCCATTTGATCTTACAAGGAACATCGACTGGCAGAAATATGCAACGGCGGTGACAATCGGTGTCGAATCAATAGATGCGCTTCCACCATTGGAAGAATATCGATTCCTAGCCGATTTGATATACAAAAGCTCACTGGAAGCACAAAAAAGAAAAGTTCCAAGTGCACCCTTTAAAAGGAGACCAGCCACACCTGGTTGGGACGAAGAATGCACAAAATTGTATGTAGAAAAATCTGATGCTTTCAAAGCTTTTCGTAGACACAAAACCTCCACATACTTCGAGGAATATTCAAAGCTTGAGACAAAGCTGAAACAATTAATCAAAGCAAAAAAACGCGGTTATTGGCGCAATTTCGTCGAGGGACTCTCACGAGAAACCTCAATGAACACCATGTGGAGGGTGGCTCGCAACATGCGTAACCGATCTTCTT